AATGATAGTGCACTTCAGATTAGTTAATTATATTCAATTTTTTTTTACAAATTCCGACATAATTTTTAGTATATGTTTATTTTATTCTACTTAATAATTAAATTGAGTTTCTTGTTCTAAAAAATCAAATTTAAAGATCAAATTTGTAAATAAATATATCCTAATATATAATTCATTACAGATTTATCAATAAATTATTTAGTTATTAATAAAATATGCAAAAGTGAATTAGGAAAAAAATGTTCAGTAAGCATTTTGCATAAATATTCAAGTATACTGTAAAAACATAGATAAGCTAATTGTCAAACATTTTCAGTCTTTGCAAAGTAGAATAAATAGAAAAGTTCTTTGCATGGATTAATGCACAAATGACAACACAAACAAAAGACAAAGGAACTTGCAGAGTATATTGCGTGAGACATATATTGGCACGTGCGAATAGGTTAAGAGACAAATAGTCATTGCTGGAGAGAGAAAGAGAGAGAGAGAAAGAGAGAGAGAGGATTTTCATAATTAATTTATCAAGGTGCCTCGTGCTAATTTATTGGTTAAACACCTCTGTGTCAGCTGAAGATGACTCATCATAATAGAATATTTTATTATCGCGTAATTCTCGTGAGCGAAATTTCAATTAATATCAATACTCAAATTATTACAAATTGTTGAAGATTTATAGCTAGTCATCGATATTTTTTCTTTAATTGTTAATGGAGGAAGGAGAATCTTTTAAAAACATGAAAAGTAAAGAAAAATTTTCAAGATAAATATTGCATATTTTATATTATCTGGTTTCAAATGCATTATCCTTTTATTGATATTTATTCAGAATAAGTGATCCAACGAGTACAGAATCAAATAGTAATATTACATATTAGGGAAGAAAATTATCAAAATTTTTTAGAAAAAGGTACCATATAATTTAAAGGTTTTTTTATAGGTTTGTTTTCTCACATTATATTTAAAATTTCAATATGGTATAGTTCTTAACAGCATATAAATACTGCATCAAATAATTGAATACTCCATTACATTCCTAATTTTTCATATTATTCATTGAAATCATTATAAAATTAATTATATAGCATCTTAAAATCAATAGAATTTTACTGCTAATGTAATATTCTTTAAATTTTTATAAATTTATGGATATTATTATTTTCTTTAATCATTTTAACGTGCACATTTGGATATGCTTTTTCAATACACTAAATTTTAAAATAAAATTATTTGAAAAAATGTTATTGAGTAGTTGCATATAAATATTATTGCAGGGTCTACTTAGACTGATCTTAATTATTACAACAAATTAAATATTAAAATGTGATGTTCCGGTATTTTATGCAAAAGCATAACATTAAAATAAATAGAATTTAAGCGATATAAAATATCCTACAAGTTATGATTTAACTCTACATACCGTTAATTTTCCGAAAATTGTTAAAACCGTCAGCATGCAATTAACGGTAGTGTGAGTAATCAGTAATCAAAGAATCAGCCATTACATACGCACGCGCTTAAACCCCGACGTTAAATCTGCTGATGCGGCGAAAGTCATGGCACTTGCGTCTTCTGACAAGCTTTCTGCCGTGCGCTTGAAAAGTGTGTCGTTTTCATACGTCAAATCAGTTGACTGTACAAGTGTTTCTCATCTCTCTTACTCTTCTCTTTCTTTCATTCGCTCGCTTCACTCAATATAAACATAGGCACGCGCGCACACACACACTCTCTCTCTCTCTCTCTCTCTCTCTCTTTACTCCTCCTCCCCCCTGTACGTATTTGTCTGTATCAATCTATACCTATCTCTATCCTGTGGCTCTGTAATTGAAAGTAAAGTCTTTGAGCGAGTCAGAGTTTACGAATATGTACCAAGCTTACAATTGTAATATTATCAATTATTCACTATTTTGTTAGGTAATCGTATTCTAATAAGTTCAATTAAAATGACGTTTGTGATAGCGCAGATATTTATTTTATAATAATTGTATCTAAGATATTTACAATATAATGAGAAAAAAATCAGGATGGTAAGAGAATAATTAGCATGAAGCGGTTAACTTTTCTAGTTATCTTGGCTTAATAAGGTTTTTTGTTTAATCGGAAATTCAATAAATATGATAATGTCAATGAAATTGTACTTATGCTAATGATGTGGATTTTAGCGGTTATGAAACTCACAAAGTTTTTACTTGTACATTTACTCATTACTCAAGGACACCGAACATTTATCAAGGAAATGCACTTGTTCGCTTAGTTTACAGCCCAAGCACTACTAAAGAAAATGATTATTTGTATTATATTTTCTATTATTTCTATTGTTTTCATTATAATCTCTATATTTAAAAATCTTACCTTAATTAAAGATCGTTGGATAAATGAAAAGATAGCAGATAATATCGACGATTGTCTGTGGACATGCCTAAAAATCGACGTATGGCCGATGAATTAGTTAAGAAAAAAAATTAAAATTAGTTGTCTTTGTTTGTGGCTACGGTTTGTGCATCAGTTTATCGAGGACACAGCTAATAAAATCTCAGTCTAATCATTGCATGCACCAGAAATCGACGAAACCGCTTCAACCAAGAGGTGATTCCCAAGGCAATAGTACTGTATTGATGGAAATGTGGAAGCAAACAGCGAAGAATCGTCATATGTTTCGCGACTGATGGATCCGTGCGCAAAAAGAAACAACGATTGCGAACCCCAACGACGATTACCGACCCCTCCAAAGGTCTTCCCGCAAAAAGTCGTTTTATTTTGGATAGAGTAGGCGACGTACGTCGCGACGCCGCTGGCACATGGGTGGCGTCCGTGCGCAGGGTTCGACCCGGCGAGAAAGCGAGCGGGCGAGTTTCGCAAAGGCACCTTCTGAAAATAGAACGCCCAAATAATTTGCCTCGAATTACCAGCTCTCTTTCCTCTCTTTCTCTTGTCCCGAACCGAGCGAGTCGATATTTCGATGAAAGAGACGCTGAGACGTTCCACCGGCATTAACACTCTCTCTCTCTCTCTCTCTCTCTCTCTCTCTCTCTCTCTCTCTCTCTTTCTCTATCTATCTTTCACAGACATGGTGGATTTGCGATAAGAAGGAGCTTTTTTCGATGGCAATAAAGTGACCAAGCGTCTTAGTTTTCAACTTCATTTTTTCTTCAAACTCTTTATCTGATTGATATAATAAGGGCTACTGTAATCTGTAGTAGTCTTGAGAAAGCAAATAGATGCATACTTATATTTTAGTATAAATCAATAAGAAACTACCCCCTAATAATTTATAAAATTTGCAAATATATACTCGTATTTTCTTAATATAATTATTATAGAATAGACGAGCATTTTTCTCGTTCATATAATCAGTGGGTTTTTATTATTAAAACGGCATATTCATTTTACTAATTACTTTAGAGAAATTGCACTATAAAAATTTTGTATAACAAAAAAAATAAATAAAAAACAAAGCAACAAAAATAAAAAAAATAAGCTTTCGCCTTAAGCACAATTATGTTAAGAGGTCCATTACGATATTCACATAAATTTTGATGGCTTCTCCGTGGCACGCATAATTATCTAGTATCACTTAACGGAAGCAGACGTGCGGGCGTGAAAAGTGCACGCATCCTTGTCATGGCTTTTACTGCATTCCGAGCGCGCGCCCGTGACGACATCCATATTACACGGAAGCTCCGGAGTCGCGTGCGTCATTTAGTGAGCAGCCGGTCAGAAGACGGGGAGGAGAACAGAGATAAAATAAGGAAGGGAACGAATGAGCGGAAGCATAATATCGTCGACGTGAAAACTGTAGCGGGCGATTGAAGGAGGATTTGAAAGTGGGTCAGCGAGGCTACAGCTGTGCGTCGTCGTTGGTGCTGTTACCGAAGCGCGAGAGAACAGAAGTTTCTCCCAGGCGGATGCCGATTTTGCAGCGTTCGAACCGCTCGTATTGAGCATCCGCCATGGATCGCTAATTCTGAGCAAACATAAATAAAAGGAGTAGAATCGAAGTCTATCGGTTTGATAGGGCAAAGCAGCCGCGTATTTCCATCGAGTGTCTCCAGCGGCATTTGTTGACCTCCCGCGGTCATCGTCCACGTCGCGACCTTGAGCTGACTCGCCGATTCTTTTTCACAACGGCAAGATCGGACCGAGTCCCGACCTCGTAAAAATTCAATGCCGGCTGAGGACTACCTTAAAGTAGCCTAATCTTGTTAAAGCGCTCCTTAAAACTACTGCACACGGCGCCTTAACATCATGCGTACTACATTGCATACAGAGTTTTCTTGGCACCTCGATGACTGAAAACTGAGCGTGATCAACAAACATTTCCATTAGAACATACAGGGATGACTGATAAAGATTAAGGCTGCGCGAGTCATGCTGAAAGGCTACAGCCGAGGCAGTCGAATATTTTTGTGATTATCAGTGATTATTAGAGGGAAAATGAGCAAGGTCGAATTACTGCGTGCTCGAACGAATCTGAAACTACAACACTCCCTTCCCGCTTTCAAAATGGTTCGGATCGAGTTACAAGGCACCTCCTCGCCAAGAGTCGATCGAGAGAATCTTCATTGATCGAACAGTTGGCAGGCGTTTCTGACGATGTCCACAAAATCGGTACGCCCTCCTCCCCGCTTACGTAATCGTCGCTGTTAAGCGTGAGTACTCGGATGTGTAAGTTCATAAGAGTCGGAGATTCAGTCTGTCTTACCTAGGCTTACCTAGTTTTTAGTTTGTTACGTGCCTTATTATTATGTTAGAAAGAGTGACTCCCCAATAATAGCTGCAGTCGTTTCGCTCCCGTCGCGAAGATGAGAAGCGCTCGATGATCAAGTCCGCAGTATCACTTCCTATTCCTTGTCGTTATCGATAGCAACTCACTGCAGACTTATCTCTCAAAAGACGAGTAGAAAGTAAAGTCGCGGATAACGTTTTATAAAACTTATTTTAATGATCGTAGACTAGCAGCTGGCTAATGGCGCCCGATGAGCGACTGACGAGCAGGAACTGACCTTCTGGACGATGAGCGGCGTGCCAAAGTCCTTGCCCCCCTGCAGCCGGAAACCCCAAGGTGAACCGTCGAAGCGGGAGAGCTTGACGCTGATCAGCTGTGCCATACTCGTACTCTCTGGGTTCGCGACTCCTGCTCTCTCGTTGCTTCTTCTTGTTTACGGGATTCGGAGCAGGGATGATCGAAGACCTGAGACCCGACGTTACACGCACCACCTACGTACGAATGAGCCGGGGGTTGGAGGCGCGCGCGCGAACTTTCGAATGTGCCGCGGCGAGGCCTCGCGTGCGTTCCACGTCTGCCAGGTTATTACCCGTCGACTCTCTCCGTACGATTTGAGCGCCGGCCCCAAGTGGGAGTCGCAAGAAGATCCCGGAGCTGGCAGCGGTGGTGGCGCGCGCGCCTGCGTACGGCGGTGAAGGAGGAGGAGGTGACGCCGGTGGTGACCGTCACGAGCACGCCCGGCTTGCTCTCTCCAATCGCGACGCCCCACTCAGGAGACCCACGCGCCCACACCTGTATACCTATATCAGAATCGGTCCCTGCCCTTCCTTCCTGTCCACGGCGACAGTGACGGTAGTCAGAACAGCAGCAGCAGCACCAGCGAAAAAAGGATGAGGATGTGAACAAGGTGGTTCGGTCCGATTCCGATATGTTCCGCTGACTGGACTGGCGAACGTTTATACCAAATGAAACATTCAGACGCCGTTCTGAGGTTGCCGTACATTGCACCTCTCTATTCGCAATATGCTTGGTTCACGAATTTTGTCCCAGTCGATGATTTATAAACAATTGTAAATGATTTATAGGTTTCCAACATTGCTGTTCTATTTACCGCAGTTCCTTTGTTAGTCGTATTACAAACATTACACTTATCCAATCTTATTTACTTAATCTTACTGCTGAAAAACCAGTAAATTATCTTATTAATCATATTTCGAATATCGATCGCTTAATCAATTTAATATATCATGTTCTATATTGATTAGTAAGAAAATATATAACTCATTTTACGGTTTTTATTTACTCAAAATATCTTAGAGTTTTTTTCAGTTTCAAATATTTATTTTTACAAAATTAAGGTATATTTGTATTCAAACCTAATCATATCACAGATAATAATAATGATATTTGTGAATGTTATTTTTGTATTTTTATAATTTTCTTTATAAATATGCCTTTCTTAAACTGGTAAATTAAAATTAAAATAATAAATTTCATATTATATTTAAAAATGAACGTACAGATTATTATTAAAAAATACCTTTTTAAAATATTAACATAAATTATCTTTACATACGCATAATATGCATTATAAAATTACAGTATAATTTAATTAAATTACAAATAAATATATTATATAAAAATGTTATAAGTATCAGTATTAAAAATAGAATTCTTTTTGAGTTTAAAACATATTTCATTTTAAATATTTACGGATTAATAAAAATTTACGACTAAACGGTAATATTGCTTTTAATTTAGTATTTCTAATTTATTATCAATTTTTAACGTGTAATTTCATGTAAATTTATAGAATTTTTTTCATATAATAAAGTTGAATAAATAATTGAAATAATGGAATATTTTGAATTCAATTTAGATACAAATGCTAATGGTAATTATGTAAGCGCAACAAATAAATTGAATACTTTGTGTTCTACAAAGTTACAAAATGTTTGGCATTGTATCAAATATTTTTCTTGACCGTCATATGCTTCATATAAGCTGTCTTTTCGCAAGTAGCACAAGGTTTGCATACTTCTGTAAACACGATATTTTATAATTGAAAAGAATTTAGAACTGTTGTTTGTATAAGTAAATAAAATTATTTTATGATTAGAAACTCACTGTAATCGCTCTTTCCAGATTTTATTTCAAATCAACTCAATATACTTATTCAATACTTTCAGTTGAATCCCTGTGAAGATGTATATTATATTCTAACTGCATATTTAGGCAACCTTAACACGTGTGCTTTTTTGTTACCATGTATATAAAATATAGATGTTATGGATCTTCACTACTTAAATTCACTAATTTTTAATTAATTATCATTAATTTTCTGACATTTCATCATCATCATCTCACCGAATAATTTCTTTAACATTTCTAATTTTCAAAATGCTTTTTTTCTTGAATATTTTTATTACATATAAAATAATTATTTTCTTATCAATAATTTAATAATTATTTGTATCTATGCAAAAGATTATTTAAATGAAAAATTAAAAATAGTTTTATTTATCTTCATGTCAATAAAATAAAAAATTAAAACCCAATAATGTTTAGTTTGTGTTAAAATAGATTCATTTGCTACATTGAATACATCTTTTAATACCATTGTCTGACAAATTTTATTTATAAAATCAAGATTTCTACCATGATTTTTAAAATTCAGAATTATAAAATTTGATACATTAATTACTTTTATTTATCTTATTGTTATCATAAATAGATTTTATGAATGACCCTACACTTCAAAAGATTTTTTTAATGTTAATTGAGGATTGGAGCAGATTTTAATTTAAAAAAATGAGAACATAATTTGTCTCAATTATTATTAATTAAATAAAAATAAAAATAAAAGTTTTTTTTAAGAAAAAGAAAAGTAAATTGTAATTTCTGAATAAGGGGCATATGATAATAAAGTATAATCGTAAAGAACAATATAATTGCTATATCTCCCATATATTTGTTTCATCAAGTAATGTTGATTACTTTTATTTCTACATATATATTCTGAAAATAAAATATTCTCTTTATATTATTAATAAAAATTTTCTCAAATAAAATTCAAGTTATAAATTTAGATTATTTTACTTTAGATTAAAAATAAAAATTTTATTGAATCAATTATATTTCATAGATGTTTCTTTAATAATACTTAATATAAACTAACATATTTCGTTAAATTATAAAATTCTTATATGCAATTTACTGTCTTAAAATTTTCGCTGATATTATTATTATGATTTATTTCTTTATTTTTAATAAAAAGCAAGTTAGATAAAGGCTTTCATGTACGTTCAAAAATTAAAAAGAACATTTAAAAATATTTAGATATAAAATCTGCTCATATTCATTAGCTGCATTTTTATTTTTTCGAAGTAAATAATACATATTTCTTCTTATATAAAGTAAACAGTTTTAAATTGCATGAATTCATTCTATAGAAAGATGAACTAAAGGGAAAATTGAAATTGATAAATTGACAAGCATTTGTAAAACTCATGCGTACCTTCCCACGTCTACGCAAATAATAAAAGGGATTCCTAGTATGAACGAAGAACTATGAAAACTGATGTACCTGAAGTCAAATCAATTTGCGTGGCAGTCGGAGAAAGGATCCGATTCTCACGGTTGCACTTCACGTTGCATTTCTACATCTCAGTTGCCTTTTATCGTGGAAGTACATGGAGAGACAAAATTTTATTTTATTCGTTTATGGTTATTATTTTGTTTTCAAATAGACTTAAAAGAGAAAACTTACGTGGATGCATACTTTGCGAAACCTACCATACATCAATGTAGATTTCTTAACTGAATTACCCATAAGTTTTGTCAATACATAATGGACTGAATAAAACTTATAATAAGTAGAATAAATTAGAGTTTTTTAATTATCTATTATTTTCATTAATTAAGTAATTACGAAGAATGTGGTTGTGATTTATAAATTGAGCAATATTTCTTTATTAATATTTTATTATATGGCATGTTGTCGATGAGGATCGCGAGTAAAAAATCATTTCCTTCGAGTTATTTTATTATTAAACTGTGCCATATAAAGAAATTAGCAATTAGATATGTAATTTATTTGATATAACTTATAAATTATTAGCAAATAACAAGTCATTTTAATGTATAAGGATGTAAAAATTAAGACGTTAGATGCAGAAACATATAAATATGTACAGTTTATACACGAAATATTACAATAAAAATATTGCAAGTATCAGATCATTTTTGCAAAATTTGATATTTATTATTCCTCAAATAGTTACTATTGAAGTAATAATATTCAGAATAAAATATATAGATCAAATTCTGGATTATACAAATTTGGACAAACGAATCTAGTTTACCAATGAATTAATACAATAATAATTAATATAATAATAATACAATATAATAATTAATAAAATATATGAAGTATTAACTAAAAATAAAATAATAATAATTATATTGTTATTTTATATTTATACATGATATTATATATACATGATATAATACATAAATTAATAATAATAATATTTAGTTCCACATATTATAGAACAACTGAGAAATGCATGCAATTATTGATCACGAATATCAGAAAACGATTGTGCGAATGTCGCCTTTGAAAATTCTAAGAATAGCGACAATTTTTATATGGAAAACCATGCTGTGTTATTCAACTATGAAGGTATAAAAATATTTAAAGAACGCTTTGTATGTAGGCGAAATGCAGTTTGTCACCAACTAAAACAGCTCCTCATCATTCCACACCATTTCCTTATAGGCCTTTTCTAACGTCGTGGCGGGCTTGCGTCAACAACTGGGCGCAAACCTCTCGGTGCGTTGCCGCATTCCGCTCATGAGGGCGCGAACTAGTTTGTGAATCATCGCGTGTGCCGTATACGATGAAACCATACGTAAATTGCTAGCGGGCCCGGCATCACGCACCTCGGGACGAGGGAGGCCCGAACGTGACTCAGACTTCGGGCGTTAATAAAGGGAGTACGCGTATATGTGCGTTCGGGCCCGGTATCTATGTTGGGGTTCGGGTCCCCGACGTCGTAAATTAGACCTCCCCTCCCTGCCAAGCTACGGCGTGCCTCGTTCCTTGCAGTTTCTAATAACCAAGAGGGACTGAGTCAGAGAAAAAAAAGAGGGATAAAGAGAAAAGGAGTCTGTGAGTCCTGATGCTCTTTGACTGTTAAGCTTATTGCAATGATAATTTTGTTTATTCTGCAAATCTTATGAAAAATAGAAAGGAAAGAAGAGACTCCGCTATTGATTAAATAATTGTTTCTGGAAGTCCAAAACTCTAATATAATGTAATATATATGTATATATATATATATATATATATATTCAATTTTGATTATTGTTTATTTCAATGCGTGCTTTATACGTATATAGTATATATACCTGGTTGAAGTTGAAAAAATCTCTATAGATTAAATCAAAATATAATAATGATTGACGAAATACTTCACTAATAAAATAGAATTGTAGCTTATATTAGGATGTATATTCTATTTATTGCTGAAAATCTTTTGCAAGGCTAACTTTTAATAACCATTTAACGTACAGATTAGTGTAAAGATTGAACATCTATTATATAACTATTATAAATCTATTAGAAAATAAAATAAAATAATCATGTATTATAACTTTCCACTTTATAACATCAATATTAAGTAGAAACTGAGATAGAGATACTTTTGTAATATAGTCTATAACGTAAATGTACTTGGAAATAATAGAAATAATAATAAAATAAAAAAAAATTAATAAATTTTTATTTATATATTATATGTATATTACAAAACCAAATGCAAGTAAATAGCATATTATATGCTTAAATTTTTTTTTAATAATATAAATTTCATTTCCCTTTAATAAATATTTATTTTGAATTGAAAGTAAAATTGTTTGTAACATGTGTAAATTATTAGTAAAAAAATTGAAAAACTTCTTTTATAATTTTACATATTGTACAATTTTAATATCATTTATTATAAAAAAATGAACTTAAAACTTGTGATAAAAACGATATCATACATTGAATGAAAAATGTAAAATGGCAAATTCCAGGATCTGTATTAAATCATAGTTTTTCGAACATAGACAATTCGTTTTGATCGAATTGTCTTTTTAGATGCCACTATTTTATTTGAAGTTTTAAATCAGAAATGTTTTAAATGTAAAATATAAACCGGTTGAAAAGTTAGTAATAAATAAATCATTTTTAAATTCTACGATATGTTTTTTGGCATTTAAAATAATTTAAATTTAATATATACTAGTTTTTAATAATTTAATATTGTTTAAATTTTTTTATTTGTAGAGTTATCACAATATAATTATATTATAAACAATTTAATCATAACTAAGTATATGAATCGTATTTATATCGATGATTTAATGAGCTAATTGCAAATACGTTGTGTACATTTCTATTATTATTGGAATCATGTGTATTTATGTGTAAAATATTTATTAAACCCTTCATTATTTATTCAATTCTTTATATTAAAAATTTTAATTATATTTAGTAGATATTATAAGTAGATATTAAGTCACACGCTAATACATTAGGCATACTATATATTATTATATTTTATAAGTAAATATGCACTTCAATATGTAGTATATATATATATATATAAGAATAATATTAAAGTTACAATACTTACAATATTAAAAATTCTGGCCCTTTAAATAATTTCAATTAATTTCAAACAGAATTTCAAAGCTAACATTGTCAGCTTTAAAAATGAATCAAAATTAAAAAATGTAATGAATCTTAGGATTTTAAAATTATAATTATTGTGCATAATAGAAAAAAGTAACTAAAAGTATAATATTAAATAAACCCAGATATCGAATATTAATAATGTGAGCAAGTATTTTAAAATTTTTGAATTGGAAAAATAACAGCGTCTTCAAATAAAGAATGGTAATTATACATTACACCATCAATTTATAAAGATTTATTATATTTATTTATTTTATTTATTATGATTGAAATGACATATTTTACACTGAAAAAGAAAATTTTCTGTTCTACTTTTACACCTTTGTGTTAATAACATTGTAGCTTACAATGTTATCAGATAAAGAAGCTCTCGTAGCACATCTTATAGCGTTCCGGTTTATAAAGATAAGAGTTAACCATTCTATTTGTGAGCGAGGGTAGGAGGAATAAGGGAGATGAGAGATTTTTAGAAAAAGAGAGTAATAAGAGCATAATAAAAATGTGGGAAGTTAGTGCTTCTAGTAAAAGGGCATCTGAAAGCTATGGGTAAGATAAACCACGGCTCATGCCGACGCATAAGGTATTCTGCACATCTCCGCGTCCTCATGTAATGAACGTTTTAACTTTTTTCTTTTTTTTTTAGCAGGCGTTTAACGATTCCCACACAAAGAGGGGTAAGGTTGATAAGTAGAGCGAGAGCAAGAGTGAAGTAGAAGACGCGAAGCAGTGAAAAGACATCGTAGTAGCAACTTTTAATTCCCAAGACTTTCATGGGCTTTCGCTCGTATGGGTCTTATATGCTATCGTATTATCGCCGGCTACCCATCTCTAGCGTCAATTGGTTAACGGAAGAGCAGAAAATCCTTTGCACTCCTCGTTAACGCTGACCCGCTGTTACCCGAGTAATTTGTTTTACGTGTAAATTACAAACTCGCATTAATGCACGATACAGAAATAAACGGAAATCTATGGCATCATGATTTTTATGATGCCGCTACCGCTACGGTACTCTCTTGCTTTCTTTCTTAGCTACCTTCCAATCCTCTGTCTTTCTACTTCTATCCTCCCTTATTTTCTATTGAGCATAAGATGATTGTTTAACTTTCGAAATATTTGCATAATTTACTTAATAATATAAGAGAGAAAACATCCTTGAGGTGAGAATGAGAAATTCATAAGACAATACTTTATTATGGCGATATGGGCCGTATAACCTCATATATATCTAAATAAACTCCCAAAATACAAATGCAATTATAAAAAATTATTGATTTTATAAATTATGCTAAAATTTTCGAAAGTTATTTGAAAATCGTAGAATACCATGCAATAGTTTATAAAAATAAGTCTAATAAACATATATAAGTTTGTCATTGGTTAATGTATTAGATTGCTTTGATTTTATATATATATAGGAAATTGTTTTAAAAGACTTAAGAAAATCTATTTCATGTTTGATAAATACTAGAATATAAAAAATACATTTTTGATTATATTAAAATTGGTTGAGTGTTTAGATTATTAAAATTTTGTAAATTTAGATATTTAAACATTTGTACACATCCCTTCCAAATATTTTTTAAAATATTTTAAATAAACTATTTAATGATATCCTCTGCAAGATTAAATTAAAACGTCATACAAAATATTTTACAATATTGCAATTAATTCAATAAGTAATGAGTTAGATAATATTTATTATTATTTTTATACATAAAGAAAATTGATTGAATCTCGATAAAGTATCTTATTCGATTAAACTATAATTACATAATAAACAATATATGTATTATCTTATACATTGTAACACAAACTAAAATATACATTATTTTGATGATTATTTATTATAGGGAGTTTATAAAATATATTCTGCATGATTTTACACTATTGTTATATTTTCCAAAACAAGTTTAAAATTTTTAATCTTTTTATAATACTTCCGTAATTTCTTTTAGATATTAAAATATGTAAATTTTACTATGAAAATTTTTTTAAATAAATAAGTTACACAATTTTTTTTTTGAATCTATGATATAAATACAATCTAAGAAAACAAATATCTAGAAGTTATAAGTCAATAATGATAGTTCGTATGCATTTTCATCTTAATGCAAGTGCAAGTATGATAGAATCATATATTATTGAACAAAAACAATTAAATTGTCAAAATGAAACTTCATTGCCACAAAAATCTCTCGTATATAATGTCCCTTCCACAGTATTTCCTTCTCATCTCCATTATTTCTTCAGTTTAATCGTAATTTTACTATTTTAATATTAAAATCATCGTCGACGTTAACATCAATGACTCACGCTTTTTATGCTTCTGTCATCTACCATGCAACAGACCGGTGTACTCTAAAAGAAAAATTGAAGAAAGTGTTAGAAGGTAGTTCTCCTTGTCGTTTATATTTAATACATACATGTGCCTTTTTTATTCACATCACAAACACACTTACCACCCTCTCTATAATATCTTTGGCGGCTATAACCTTTGGCGGTCTCGTAGGAATTCCTTTCTTTGGCTCGACTTCCATTTTATGAATCATCTTAAAGACGCTCGAATTCATCAGATGGTCGTAGTTTGGTAAGGCCGTTTTTTCAAATTTTTTGAAGTTCACTCTGAAAAATGTAATTGCATACTAATTTAACAGATGTTTAGCATATAAACTTTTAATTTCTTAGTCGAGAGTTCGGTTTCTTTTTTTAGCAACACACTTCCATTGTATGTTTCTCTAAATGTAAAAGCATGTTTATTGTCTTTTGCACGGTTCATCATTTCATTTATTTCTTTTTTATTGTATTACAAAAAAGGCTCTTTAAATTTTCTTCCAATCCTCTTCATTTTAAATAAGAAACAGTGACTTTAAAATATTTTAAAATTGAATAAGATTGTACAATACGTATAATACACGACTCTATTATAATATAGTTGAAAATAAATAATGATTAATAATTAATGAAAAAATAATTTTGTAACATAATTTTGTATTATGTAGAATTAAAATTAAACAATGTCATTCAAATCTTATACATTTGAAATAAAATATTTGTAAAATTTAATTTAAAAATAGTCTAATCATGTACAACTTAGATAAAATTTATTGATCAGTATAAAAGTTTTTTTTGGAAATGTCTATTAAATTATTTCAGTTAGTAATGAAAAATATTTTGTTTGTAATTATTTATTATCGAAGATAGCCTGCTTAGAATAAAATTAACTACAGTAAAATTATTAATAAATATCAAACAACCGCCCCCACACACATATATATTCAAATGACTCATATTTGACTTTTGAAAGATTGAATTATTCCTATTTAAAAAACAATATATATATACAAACTTATAAACTTATAAAAAATGTAATTTAATAATATAATGTAAGAAAATATACATTTACATCATAATTGCTCTTTAAGTGAAGCATCCTTCGCATTGAAATTCTAAAAAATAAATACAAATCTTATATAAGCAGGATTATTCAGTTATTTTAATTTTTTTAACATTTATTTTCATTAAACAGAGAAGAAAATTATATTTTAAACAGCAATATAGAAAATATTGAGCAACTTTGAATAAATAATTTCTTGAGAAAGATTTTTTATTTAAAATTTCACATTTTACAAATTTCATTAGAATATATCTAACATTGTATCTGTACATTGTCAATTGAGAGTATACGCGTATTTGAATTTCTCAATTTATCGAGATAACGAAGATTTTTAATCATAAGTTGATATACGCAATCGAAAGTGTCTTTCACTCATTGATTTTCATTAATGAGAATACTTAGAGGTATTTTGGGAATGGATAAAGAAAAGTAGGGTTATACAATAATTAAAGTAAATAGCTATACCCCAGTGCTCTACCACGTATGACTTCAGCCTGAGAGCAGAGAGCATCAGCGATCATTTCGTCATTAAAGAAGTCATTAGGACACCTCCATTTACGCCCGTATGTTAGCTCGAGCTGTTTAGCCTGGGGATGCCAGAGCTCGCGCACTGGCTTTCTACCCTTTCTGTTCTGCGAAATTGTATTTATAAGAAATTAGAAAGTAAATAGTGAGCTTTTTATGGGCGTTTGCCCGTTTGAGCGGACACTGGTAAGGAAATAGGAAAATTCAACACACACACGTATTTATATAATTACATTTTATAAAACTTAAAAATTATGATATTAGATTATTTATTTATAAATGAATGTAATTCGACTTTATCATTATAATCCTTATAAAGCTATATTTGAAAAAATGTCTTTGTGAATTTTTAAAGCACTCCGCAATGAATCGAAAAACAAATAAAATGAAGGAAATTTGTCATTTAATTTAAATTAAAGTTGGATTACATCATTTTGTTATTAGAAAAAATTCGACTACATAGGGATACAGACTATCTAAATTCCTATATTTTTTATTTTTATACCTTAAACTCTTGCACCAGTTGTTCTTGTAAAGTTAATTTTGGGTTTGGCTCGAAGCTTCCTAAAATATATTTTATTTCTTTAAAGCAATGATCAGATTAGTAACAATGATTTTGCTTTTTAAAGAGTTATTCCACATAGTTAAACTTTATTTAATAATGATGGACTTTCAATTCAATATCAATAGCAAGGAGAATATAGCGATAATATTAGATTTAAAAATATTATATATATATATATATATATATATTTAAAAATTACAATTATTAGATTGTATCTAACTGTACATTATTCAATTATCTGCATAAAACACATTAATTATATGTAAATATATAAAAAATTAAGAAAATTAGATAAATAATAGTAATTTTTAATATTGTGTTGTTAGTCATTATTATTGTATTCAAGCTAAAGATTTTGAGTTATCTGATAAAGAAAAGTAATAGTAATAATTACAATTTCTAGAAATTTATAATATTTCTAAGCAAAATGTGCACTCTTTACTATATTAAAAAAATAATCTTTAATTAATTAAAAAAAATTATATATAAATTTATTGTCTTAAATTTTTATAAAATAATTATATTTTTAAAAATTTCATCAATTCTTTTTGAATATAGGTTTTATTTTGTAAAGTTTATATTATAGGATAGAATGTTTAGAATAAAAACTGAAATTTAAAAATATTAACCGTATTTCGCATTATATTTGATAGACTGAAGTCAAAGTACATAATTCAGATGTTTATTTAAAAAATCTTATATTTATTATCGTATTTATTGAATCGATCTTTGTTAAAATGTAACTCAAAAACTATATACTTTTGTTCAAAACTCATTTCATTGTATACTGCAATTACCGTCTTCAATATACTTCGCATTGAGATAAAAAACATGAGGCTCAATTGAATGAATTTTTTTAAATAATCACCGTGCGATAGCGCTGGACTGGGTATTTGTGAGCACTGAGTATCATGTGTCTCTTGGAGAACTTTAGATTCATAAGAAACTATATATTTCTTTACTCTCTTTCCATCATCTTCGTTACTCTTGACGGATATTTCAAGCTCCTTGGACTCAGTCCAGGTATCTTCGGTTGAAATAATGTTTGGTGTGTAGCTCAACAACTCTGAGCTTACCGATTTTATATCCTCCTCCACCTCGAACAGTTGTTCCTGTTGTTCATCTAACTTTTGCTCGTCGTTTGCCTGCGTCACTTCCTCTGATTGTTGGCTCCCCTGTTCTTCCTGATAGTGGAAATTCTCTGTATCTATCTCGTAAGCTGTAAAGAAACGTCAAATATTACTAAGCAATTACAAAACCAGTGCTTAGACAATTATCTTTTTTTTAATTTCTTTAATGTTATGCTTTCATTAAATTCTTTAATGAAATTGTAGTAGTGGTAACGAAAATTTTAATATATTTAGAAGGTTTTATATTATCAAACTAAGAATTAAAATAAGCATATTAAGTTGTAAACTTTTAAGATTCTAAATATAATTTAATATATTTTTTTATTTTGACATTGAAATTAAAGATACTAATATAAAATGATGCTTCAAAATTTAATAAATTCTCATATATATACATATATATATATATTATGAATGCATTAACAAATTTCGCTTGAATTCATATATTTAGACAATGATTTTTAAAATGCATATATCAAAACTTAAAAAAATTTTTTTGTTTCATCGTGATTACATTTATATTTATAGTCTTGAATAATATTAAATAATATTTTATCAATTTATGTGTCATTAAACTATTTTCGTAAGAAATAGTGATTTTATCAATGGTAAATCAAATTAAATGTTAAAAAAATATTACGTATAAAAAATGAAAGTTATGTTAGGGATAAACAGAACAAAACAAATTTTTATTTATTCTTTGGTTTTTATTTAAAATTTGACATTAATATACAATTACAATTATTATTACAAATACATTCATTTAAAATTTTTGCATTATTTTATATTGGTTAGATAAAACAGTTACTCTACACTTAAAATGTTTTGATTTAATAAAACGTTAGAGGAAACAAAACAATTAAGTAATTAAGTAAAATATATTTTGAATGAATATGGATGTATAAAATCAATGATATTTAAAATGATAAGATATTATAATGGATGTCTTAATTTAAATATTTATAAATATAATTGGTCATAAAGGTTTGTGTAAAAAACTTAAATAAATTAAAATATGATTTATATTTGATTAAAAAATGATAAATTATCAATAATTATTAGAATTATAAATATTTAAACAAAAGTTTTTTTTATTAAATTATTTAATTACAATTGAATATCTTAAATTTTATATATGATTGTTTTAAACAGAAAAATGTTAAATTCTATTTATTCATAATTACTTTTCTACTTCGTATTCATTTTTACGTCAGTTGGAACATAATTTGATTTCAATTATAGGGACGCCAAATACAGTAGGTAAGGTAAAAATAAGAATGCAGCAGTCTAACCTTTTTATAATAAATAATCATCGTGTTAATTTAAAAATATATTAATATGTTAGTTAAACATAAGTGACTATTTTAAAATAGAAAATTAAATACTTTATTTTAACTTTTTAATATGAAAATTCCAAATTAAATTGTTTTTAATAGTACGCATGAATTAAATATAACATATATAATATACATGTGTATTGTATTATGTAAATTAATTATTTGTATTATGATATGAATTGTATGAAGACAAAATAATTTGATAAAATATTGAAATTCTAAACAATATTTCAGTTATAAAATATTTTGTATTATTTTCTAAACTTCAAAAAGTATTCATGAGTTTTTATTAAGTTTTTTTTTATTTAAATTTAGATATAATCTTAATTACAATATTTTTTAGTAAAATAATAAGCTTTAAACAAGCCAATAATTAATTTATACAATACACACATATACTATGGAAATAAAATATCCCCAAAAATCTTGTTACTTTTTGTACATTTATAAATAATTATTTAGATCTACAGTATTTAATTTTTAATGTGTTAATATTAATATCGGCAATTCTAATATATTTTATATTTTTTGCATAGAAATTATGTAACTAACTGATATTATATTATATAGTTTTACTGTTTTTAGGAAATCAAATATTCAGGAAATTTTTTTTAATTATATTGTAAATATAATTTATATAAAAGTAACTGAATATGGTGTCGATAAATTAGAATAAGTAGAATAAAAAAATAATTTTCAAGACTATCAGCACTATACGCTATCTTTATCTTTAATATATATATATGTTATTTGCACGTGGGCGCATGTGTATGCATGTGTGGGCGCGCGCAGTTGTTGGCGCGCGGGGGCGTGCGTACACACATTATTGATTGTTTCATTTGAAATTTAAATAAACTACTAAAAATGTTAAAAATTTTATTTAATTATAATGCATCAATATTGTTGTTGTAGCATATACCTTCATAACTGTTAATTTATATTGGTTGTAATTAATATTGTTTGTAATGCAAAGGTAACTAAAAAATAAATTTAAGTATATGAATATTAATTGAAATTATACAAAAATACTTTTATACAAAAAGTAATTTAAAAATATGTATTTTTAAACAGATAAATATCGAATTTTAATATAAACTAGAAATTTGTTTTTTAAAATATAAATTATAATTAAACAATAATGTTGTAAATCAATCGTAAAAATTTTAAATTAATATTTTTTTAAATTATTAAAATTAATTAAATTTAGTTTCTTTTTTTTTAACTAACTATATTTATGTATTTAAAACATAAATAAATAAATAAATAAATAATTAATAATAATTAAGGCATTTTTATAAATTTTATGTAATCTTTATTATTTTTTATTTATTTTATTTATTTATTTTATTATCTTTATTATTAGTGTAATGATCTAAAGTTCAAAAAATGTTATATTTTATTGAATTCAATCGAACGAATAATATTGTAGAGTACAAGTATAGGTTTAACTGTATAGGATGTTTATCGATAGTTTGTCGATAGTTAATGTGGATCAAACTTTTCTCTCTCTCTCTCTCTCTCTCTCTCTCTCTCTGCCCCTACTTGTTTTCCCCAGGTGACTAATAACAGTTATTTCTTTCATAAATCACAAAACAGGGGTTCTGAGGCGCGACAAAATAACATATAAGTGGATATCGCAAAGAAACAGCTAGAATCAACAGCACTTTGGTATTTCATATGGTGAAGGGCCAGCTAGGGGTTCCGACCGACTCTGGCCTTCCCCATGAGTCCTCGGTCACCCGCGACCCTCGGTTTGCGCTCACCCTTGGCCGGCTCCTCGACCCCTGTCTTTTCCACACTACTGAGCTCCAAGATCTTATGTAGTTGCTCGGAAACGATCGTCAGGTGTTTTTCGATTTCACTAGGTAACTGCTTTAGGGCTAGCAATTGACTCTGAACACTTTCAAGCTGACGCTCGAGGTTAACTTCTGTCGTCACTAGCTCTTTGATTTTGTTTTCGTCCATGCTCACTGAGCCTTCTTCGCTTATCTCCATTGACGAGTTCACTAACTCGGGCAACTGATCTTTTGAACCGTATTGAGTATCCTGCTGTTCCTGAATTAATACAAAGTCAAACCTTAAACTCTTGTATGCCTTAGTGGAGTAGTGCAAATGGTATAGCAATCTTATTTTAAAGTTTATAGTGAGTGGATCGATTAGGAATTTTACAATTTGAAAAAATGTTCATGTTTAGAATTAATTGATAAAAGACTGAAAAGAATTATTCATTTGTAATTTTATTTTTAAGTAATCGTATGATTGTTTATTTGTTATTAATATTTATATAAATCTTGAATAAATATCAACATATTTCAAATAAAATATATGAATCATTTTTTAAAAACAAATAAATTTTTTCTAAAAAGTATACATATTGGATATTTTGTTTCAAAATTCAGTTTATAAATTAAATTAGAATATTTATAATTTACTATTTTGAAATCTTATCATTTTCGGTATACAAATAATTTGTATTTTTTATTTGAAATATAATTTTTTTCATAATTATTCAGTAATACTATTGTCGAAAAATATTCTAACATTTAAAAAGATTATATTTAATATTCTTAATAAAGATTATTTATTTAGACTCAGTTTTTAATTTTATATAGATAATTCAAATGATTTTTAAAATGTTATATTTTTTTTATTGAAAAATAAATTGATTATATTTCTCACCGTTATCTTATCTTGTTGCTCTTGTTTGTATTCTTCAAAAACTTCTGTCGATTCTTCAGTTTTGATAATTTCAGTCTCTATTTGTCGGCGTGAATCATTTGAAAAATCTTGAACTTCGATAACAGGTGCTGGTGAATCCGATAATGTTTTCTACATGATTTTGTGAAGAAAGACAAGAAAGCTAAAGTTAGATTTGTTAAATGGCGAAACAGATGAAGATCAAGATACGAGGGTTTAGTAAGCATTATTAATGAGCAAAGGAAAGTAAACAAAAGTACAAAGATTTTCATAAAATATTTACATTAAGTAATAAGGTCTATACAATATAATTTATATAATTTATATAATGAAGATTGTTTTAACTTTAATTAATTTATGAAAAAATATAATTTTATTGATAATTATTCGTGTATACTCATAGCAATGACAAATTTTATTTATTAAACCATCATAAAGTGACTAAGTTTTTTTATATCATTTAATGTTATATATATATATATATATATATATATATATCTTGTTCAATGCTGTATGTTAGAATTTTCGATTATTTGTAAAATATGATATCTTTGAAAAGTCAACAGTATTTTATATAAAATGAATAGGATAGGATAAGGCTCATCGACAATTTCATAAGAATTTTTACCTAATACGATTCTTAAAAGTTTGACATACGCATAATCGTGTAGTCAAATAATATGAAACCAATTTGCTTTTATGTATAGTTTTTAATAAATAACATACTAAATCTAATTAATAGACGAAATATCATGCAAAATATGTAATAATAATAATGTTTCCTCGTGCAATCCTGCTCGAGTTTTGCAAATGTTTCAACATTTTTGAATGTATGTTTAATAATAATTTATAGTTGATGTAAAGCAAAGTAAATTATTTAATACAGTGAATGATTTAATCAATCAATAGATTTGCTAAAATTAACTAATATGATGAATTTGAATTGTTCTTTTTTTAATTTTTAAAATAATGCAATATAAATCAGATGCATTATTTTTCTTATATTGCATATTATATTGTATATATTATAATTCTTATATTGATATTGTAAATTATATATCAATAAATAATAAATTAATTTGAAATGAAAATAAAAATAAGAACATCTCTAGTTCACGCTATGTAAAATTGAACAAGACTATTCTTTTAATGAGTACAATATCTTTACTGAATAATAGTTTACTATATACTTACAAAGCAATTCGTTCGTTCAACTAATTTATTAATTGATGAGAAAAAATTGTTACGAAATAGGTAACTCGTAAATCAGCATATTGGTACTTAACTTTATCATAATTATTTCATTCTAAATATTCATAAGGATAGATACTCTGTTTTTAAACATAATTGAAAGAGAGTTGAATAATTTTAAGAATGAATCAAATTTACATGGCAATGATGAAATGCAAGAAAGCAAATTTATTTGATTATCAAATAAGTTAGCTGTCTTATATTTATATTTATATTAATATTTATTTTTATATTTATAATGGTATTTATGGGTGAGTTAACGTTTATGTACGCGTGTGTGTACATATGTACCTGTGTATTAACGTATATTTATGTATGCATTGTTTATTTTACAAAGATATACATGAATAATTGAAGAATATTCTCGTTATAGATGATCGATTTATACCTGTTAACCAATAGATCATTCAATGAATGAGTGCCTATGGTATTTGCGTGTAATGTATAGCGACAACTAGTTCTACTCTTAACGAGATCTCGCCATTATTGCCTTCGCAAACGTCGTCGATTCTCATCGGTAATCGATTTTTATAATTATCATTGATGAATTCTGTTAAAGCTTTTATATTTCAATGAGCAATAAGATTGCTCGATGCTCGTTAAAAATTCATTTCGGAGCAGATCAGATCAGTATCCCTCACTTTCATGTTCGCCCTCTCGTTCTTCCAATTGTACTCCTTTGATCAGACGAAACGAAGCACGAATAAGAGCAGCGTTAGGTAGAAAGGGGCCTGGGGCTTTCACTCCTCGATCTCGTTATAGCGCTTCGCGTAGTTGTAGACAAGAAAGGCTAGAGCCGAGGCGCAGGGTAGAAGCGCGTAGGCGACGCCCCTAACGAGGTCCGTCCGCATGGCGCTACCAAGTTTATCGGCAACTTGCAGAGACATGACTGAGAGCCGCCGCTTGCCCTCGGCACATCTGCTCTGAAAGCCGCTTGAGTCCTCGGGGAATTTTTGGTGCTCGACCGAGGCTCGGCAGGATGCACGCCGCGAGTTGCGTCGGCTGGAGCCCCTGTGTAGAATCTCCGCGTCATAGGCCTCGCTAATGCTCTGGATTAGGGAGGCGAGTACGAGGAGTCGGAGAAGGCTGTCAGCCTCAGAGGGGCTTCCGCTCGCCCCAACGACGCCACAACGTACTTCCGCGACGATCTTCTCAAAGTAGTAGCCACGACGTTGCAGCCGAGGCTTGGGATTCGGATGCACGCTTGGGCATAGGGACTCGAGAATGCGCTCGAGGCAGCGGCGCGCGTACCTGCCCCTTTGGTAGAGGATCTGTCGGGTCCTGGGAACCCGAAGAGCGGGTG